CCCAGCATTTTAGAGGCGGAAGCAGGAAGATAACCTTAAGTTCAAGGCCAGCCTGCGATTCACAGTGAGCTCCAGGATAAAGTGGGCTACAGAGTGAAACCCTATCTCAAAAATGAAACGAACAAATGAATAAAACAAGACACCCAAACACCCGATCAGTGGTCTCCATCTAGCAGTGACATGGTCTAGCTCCTTCATTGAGAAGATCATATGAAAACCTATGAGATCATGGTAAAAAGAGCCATGGCCAGAGGCCCAAGTTTGGATTTCATATATATCCTCATTTCTCTAGACCTTCTAGCTCAGCCAGAAAATAGGATCATTAATTCCTGTTTAGCAAACCTCTATGTGAATTAAAGTAAACGGTTCAACAGCAAATAGAATATTCTACAGGGCCTGTTACAGGGAACAGAGAAGGAACTCATAACTTCATTCTCTTCCCCTTGAATTCTCTCCTTTCTCCCTACTGGTCCACGCCCCACTTTCAGTTTCCATTGTAGGGCAGGTTCTTACGTCATTCCCAAGCCCTTCTCTCCATTGGTGGAGGACAGGTAACATGGCAGGACTGTCTGAAGCTCTGTGGCCACCGCAGCACACATCATCTGGACCTCCCTCTCTCCGAAGCACACTGCCTCAGGCTAAGTCTGAGGGGGCTGTTCTCACCAGGTTGAGAACAGAAAAACAGAATCTGGCAAATGGTAAGCAATTGACCCATTAGGAGGATGCTTAAGAGTGCCCTAGACAGGAGACAACGGCAGGCAGCTGCTGAAAGTTACCGCTTCAGTTCTAAGGGCCTGGGACCAGACACAAGCTAGGAAGGAAAGGAAAGGAAGGGAAAGGCAAAAGCAATTTTTTTTAAGGCAGAAATAAGTAAATAAAAGTACACACATAAACACCACACACATGCACACAAACACACGCACACACACCACACCACACACATGCACAACCACCATACACACACATACACACACATTCACATATACCACACCACACACACCACACCACACACACACATTCACATATACCACACATATACACACACATTCACATATGCCCCCCCCCACACATACCATGTTTATTAACTAGAATATACACATAATTTAAGTATTGGTTTTCTTTCTCCAGCTTGCCTTGATCCCACTCCCTTTTTAAAATGGGTGTGAATACTTCGCCTGCATTAAAATGCTGGTGCGCTGCACGCATGCCTGATGCCTATGGAAGCCAGAAGAAGGCATAGGATTCCCTGGAACTGAAGTTAAAGGCGGCTATGAGCCACCATGTGGGTGCTGAGAATTGAACCTGGATCTTGTGGAAGAGCAGCCTGAGCCATCTATCCAGCCTGCTTTGATTTTTTTTTTTTTTTATGAAATAAAAAGAATTTCCTTATATGTGGGATGGGAAACAAATGTATGGTCTTCTAGCATATGTGGACAGGCCCAAAACCTATCTAAGTCTGCTCTACCTGCCCATGGTGTAGGCCATCCACAAAGACCTGTTCTGCAACACCAAAGGAACATAAAGAGCAAGAAATAATAATTGCTTACACTGATGAACAGCTAAGAACTCACAAATCACTTTCAAATTCATTTTAATTTTGAGCCATGAAATCTCAGCCCCAGGCAGCTGAGTCTCAGAGACGCGCCATGAATTCCCTGAGTTCTCACTGTTGGTCAGAGACCACAGGCCAGAGCCCACATCTGATCGCCTCCCAATAGTTTGAATCTGAAATGTCCCCAGTGGCCCATGCGTTCAAAGTGTGCTTGCTAGTTTGCAGGACTATCAAGGAAGTGGTGTCGTCTTTAGGAGATGGGACCTACTGGAAGAGAGGTGGGTTACTGAGTGAGGACACTGGGATTCTAGGGTCCCTTCTTCTACTGTATTTGCATCCTATTACCCAGGACACGAGCAGCTCCCTCTGATATGTGCTCCTGCTAGGACAGACTGCCTGGACATAAGCCCAAAAGTAACAGAGCCGAACAATCAAGGACTGAACCCTCCAAAATCCCTATGTTTTATAGTCATAGGCATCTTGTTAGAGCAATGAAAAAAATCAACACTCCTGCTACACACTCTCTTCCTGTCAGATCACAGTGGAAAGTAAAAGAGCTAGGTAAACGGCTAGGAGAACAGCCTTTCAGTCTGAGGCAATGCCTATGACCCAGTTATAAACCTCTGGAATATGAAGAAGGCCAAGTGCCTGGGTGGATATTAGAAGCAAGCCTGGAAAGTGTGAAAGGTGAGTCTGTAGGAAACTGAGGCAGCTAAAATGAAAAGAAGAATGACGAGGCTGAGACTTCAGCTCAGTAGTACAACACGTGGCTAGTATGCACGATGCCCCGGCTTCAGTCTCCAATACTGAACACCAAAGCAAACAAACCAAAGAACGAAGAAAATTGTCATCTGTCTCTGAGCGAGAACTCAACGCTACCGGGCGGTGGTGGCGCATGCCTTTAATCCTAGCACTCGGGAGGGAGGCAGAGCCAGGCGGATCTCTGTGAGTTCGAGGCCAGCCTGGTCCACGGAGTGAGATTCAGGACAGGCTCCAAAACTACACAACTACATAGAGAAACCCTGTCTCGAAAAACCAAAAAAAAAAAAATAAAAAGAACTCAGTGGCGTAGTGAAGAGCTGACAGGAGAGAGGACTGCAGCGGCAGAACTGGAGAGAAGGCTGGAACAACTTCCTGGTGGGCTGCTGACAAGAGAGCCACAAAAATGAGCTTCTAGGGAAGGAAGAGCAGGCAAACCAACACCCCAAAGCTCCTGCCTGGCCCGGAACTGCAAGCTGCCCCTCCAAAGAGAAGGAGGTGGGGCTTGGGAGATGGCTCACTCAGAGAGTACTTTCTACTCTTGCAGGGGACTGCCCTTCAGTTCCTAGTGCCCATGTCAGAGAGTTGGCTTCAGCTCCCTGGGATCCAACATCCTCTTCCGGCATCCCCCAGCATCCGCATTTACACGTGCACATACTCACACATAGTTTGTGTGTGTGAGAGAGAGTAAATAAATAAAACCTTTACATCAATCAATCAATCTTTACAAAAAAATGAAAGAAGTGCTGCTTAATGCATTTACTCAAACTCTACTCTGTGCCAGATAGAAGCACACAGACAGATCCTCTACCTGCCACAAACCTGGTGGCCCAACTCATCACTGTTTTGCTGCATCTCTTGCCCCTAACTAGCCCCTCTTCTCAGAGCAACAGAATCCTTCTTCCAACTTCTCAATAGTTCCCAACGGAACTATCCCAATTACACACCAAATACCTAATACTTAGTTTTCGTCCTATCTTGTGTTCATGTGTTTTGCATATGTATGTGTATGGTATATACTATATGTGGCGTATGTGGAGTTCATGTGTGGTAAATACGTGATGTATGTGAGGTGTCCATAATGTGTGTGTTGGAGAAGTCTTGCTTATGTAGCCCAGACTGGTTTTGAATTCAGGCATTCTTCCTGCCTCAACCAACAGTGTTAGGGTTATAGGTATGTGCCAACACACCTGGCTCATTTGTATGTTTATAAGGATGTTTCAATTTAGATTTTAAATTTTTACATTTATCTATCCATGTATTTATCTATGTATCTATGTATCTATCTATGTATCTATCTATGTATCTATGTATCTATGTATCTATCTATCTATCTATCTACCTATCTATCTATCTATCTATGCATTACACATGTGTGCAAACACCTGCCACAGTGCACATGTGAACAGAAGACAATTTTTTCAGAAGTTGATTCTCTCCTTCCTCCACGTAGGTGGGTTCTAGGGAGGAAACTCAGGTTATCATGCTTAGTAATAAGTGCCTTCCCCTGCTGAGCCGTCACACTGGCCCATCTCCTTCATAATTCACTGGGTATCCTCAAAAGACAAGAACGTAATTTTTTCCTCCATGTTTTTGCATTCACTGCACAAGGGATGATCAGTATTACAAGTTCACAAAGATTCCGGAAGTCACCCAACCATTCAGACTCACTGTACAGGCACCTCTCTTTGCTATACACCTGCGAGATATGCACCGTTTTCTGATGGGAAAACTAGTGGCTCACAAGGAAAGGTGAGGGTAGGGTGCAGTTGCACTTGGTGTCTTCTGGTTGACACATCAACCCTGGGCCCAGTAAGGTGCCCAGGAAGTACCACTTGCAAATCTAGACCAACTTCAGTTACAAAAATTGAATCTGAGCTCTCAAGACCTCAAGGACATCATTTGTGTGTATGTGTGCATATGGTGGGAAGGAGAACAGAACAAAGGGAAGGAAGCAAGAAGGCAGAGAAATGGAAGAATAAAGGCATCTGCCTGAAAAATGGTGCTGGAAACAGAGGGAAGCTTCGCCCTTCTCATACTACATTAGGGAAGACATCCCACCACCTGTTTCCCATTACAGCCTTCAATTCCCTTCTCATTCAGGGGACCTGAAGCACAGAGCTGGCTTGCTGATTGATTTAAGTTTAATTCATTTGTGTAATATCCCTGTTCAGAGCAATGTCTAATTAACACTTTTGTTGGGGGGAATAAAACCTCCCATATTCATTAATGAATGGGGGAAGGGAAGAGAAGCTTTCCCAGGCAACAACCTAGAGTCTACAGGGCTGTTTGCCGGCTCTATCTTAGAGATGTCTTAATGAGACATGTCTTCATAATGGGATTATTGCTCCCTTTGGACTGGAAGAAGCAAATGGGGCTGAGATCAGCTGGGGGAATGGATAGTACATGAGTCAGCACTCATACTCATGCCTGGGGACCTTGATTCTGGAACCCTAACCCAGGGAAAGGTACTCTCTGAGCTGCAGAACACAATTCCAAGGATAAATCCACTGCTTCCTGGATTCCTCAGCCTCCCCAGGCTTCTCAGAGAGAAATAATATCATAGATTTGTTTATGACTGCACCATTTGGAGCAGGACTCTCTATAAATGTTAGTTCAGGAGTCCAGGGAAGCAAAGAACACCAACACTATCTCACAGGCAAAGACTCAGAGAAATCGGGGAACTCACCCAAAGTCACAGAGATAAGATAAGCAATGGCTAGGTGTGGCACCCACATCTTCTGACTCAGAAACCTGGGCTTCTCGGGGAGCAGGCTTGATTGGCAGCTCATTAGACATGTGCCGTTGCTCTCCAGAGGCATTCCTAAAGCCCTGCTGGGGATGAATGCAAAGAAGGCATTAAGGTGTGAACTTCAGCTCCTAGTGATAAAGAACTCATCTAAAATCACCATAAAATCATCTATCTAAGCGTCTAGGGCTAGAGAGACAGCCCAGCGGTTAAGAGTATATATCACTCTTACAGAGGACCCGAGTTCAGTTTCCAGGACCCATGTCAGGCAACTCCCAACCACCTATAACTCTCTAACTCCAGCTGCAGGAAATCTGATGCCTTCTTTTGACCCTTGCAGGCATCTGCACTCACATGCACGTATCTACACATAGACACACATGAGTCCACGTAACTTTTTAAAAATACATATTAAAATACTGAAAAATTATAAATTCTATTAGTTTTAAAATCATAGTAAGAGTTTAAAGTGAAGATGGAGAGTGGTCCATAGCACTCAAAGGACTGTCAGAGGGGCCTATGGCCCCACTGTAAGATTCAGCAATGTGGGGTTTATCTTTAACCATGCTTTCTACTCTGGGTTCTAATCTCAGTGTTCATCTGAGTGACCTCTGGTGACCTGTTTACCCTGCTCAGGCTTCTATTTTATGCCTGAACAAGAAGAACCATAAACCATGCTTTGCCCAACACACGAGGACTTGTTGAGGTCCAATATGCATAAACATATTGTAAGAAACAGGGGCCAAAAGACGATACAGAACAGGACCTGTTTTCACAGCTCATCAGTCTGTGTTTGAAAATTTTTGTACCCGTGTGCATTAACTCCTGAAAATATAAATTAAAATCTCACAAGAATACTTCAGCCCTCAGGTTACACATTTTACACATATAATCTCCCTCAATGCTCTGGGCAGTTCTGCGCGGTAGAGATAATTTTCCCAACTGCATACGAGGAACTGAGACTGAGCACACTCAGATAAGTCAGCCAGGGTCAGCTGTGTGACTAAATAGTCGATGGTCTAGGATTAAAATTCTTATCTTTCTGATTTCAGAGCTGCAATCTCACACTTCCCTACATTAATTATAGATGCCTAGTCTATCTTAAAAGCTCAATGGTAAGAGATGAAAATGGTATATGTTGAAGAATAAATTTCACTATATTGCTACCGGTGTGTTTGTGTGTGGGGGGGGAGTGGGGGGGCTGAAACTTCCCCCATCATTATCTAAACATAGGACTCCTGTAACTATTTGCCTTACAACCAATTTAACTGTCCACTGGCTGCCCAAAGAAAATTGTTTAAAAATTATATATACACATACTTAAAAAAGCATTTATGTGTATACACACTTGGGGAGGATGGTGGCAGCTTTCTTCTTCTTCTTCTTAAAGAAAAAAAGAGGGAGAATTAGAATGGCTATTAAAAACGTTGTCCTGTGAGGCTCAGTGCTTAAGAGCACTGACTGCTCTTCCAGAGGCCCTGAGTTCAATTCCCAGCAACCACATGGCAGCTCACAACATTCTGCAGTGGAATCTGATGCCCTCTTCTGGTGTATGTGAATACAAGTCACTCACATACATAAAATAAATAGATAAATATTTAACAAGAAAAAGAAAATGTTGTCCCGTGGTCTGGCATTATGGAGACAAACCCAGGCAACTTGCCTCACACAGTCTTGAACATCCAGTAGATCCTTCCTTTAATTCTGCTGCCTGCTGCCCTATACAGCCAATCCATGTCAATGTCTCTGGCTTGGACCACAGGCCAAGGCAGGCAAAGGTGGGTGGGATATATCCTCACATGTCCACACTGAGCCAGACACAGTTATGTGCTTAATAAAGGCTTGTGCCAATAACACCAAGATAAAGATCATTCACTTTTAACTTAAATGGAAGCAAAGCCTCTGGGCAGGGTAAGTTTACAGTGCCATACAGTAAAACACACACTGATGCTTGGAGAAGGTCAGGGTCAGCAGCCGGCCTCTCTGTCATGTGTTTACCTACTGGAAGACAGGAGATAATATCTACTCATAGGATTGTAGTGAAAATTAAACATAGAACTATGAACTCCTTACTAAGGGAAAAATCATTATGTATCGGCGGTGGTGGCGCACGCCTTTAATCCCAGCACTCGGGAGGCAGAGCCAGGCGGATCTCTGTGAGTTCGAGGCCAGCCTGGGCTACCAAGTGAGTTCCAGGAAAGGCGCAAAGCTACACAGAGAAACCCTGTCTCGAAAAACCAAAAAAAAAAAAAAAAAAAAAAAAAAAAAGAATAGACACTAAAGATACATATTACTGTTACAGTACTTGCCTAGCACGCAAAAGCCCTTGGGTTTGATATCCAGCCAAAAATAAAAAAGGAGAAAAATAAATTTAAAAAATAGTAAGTGGGCAAACCCCTAAGATACTGTAGTCCCCAAACTTCCAGCAGGAAAATGCCTCCTGGGTTTTGTATCCCCAGCCTCGGAAACTACTTCGCTCAGCATGGTCACCGTGCCTTCCCAAAAGCCTGGCACATCAGTGAATGGGAGGAATAAACTAGAGAGAGTCCCAAAGCTTGCTGCACCCAGCTTTGGGAGCAACTAAAGACGAAAGGGATAGCCCAAGTTCTTCCTAAATTCCACTGAATTGGCATCACATTCCGAAGGAGCACTTCACACAGCTCCATACTGCCACCGCCACCGCTGCCACCACCACCGCCGATGCCACCACCACGCCACTCCAGCATTAGGTAGGCAGAAATAACAGACTAGTTAGAACAATTACCATGCCATTCACTCTGAGGATCCAGGGGACCTTAAGCAGGCAGACGAGGCCAACCAAGTCACGGCTTGGGGCTAGGGTAAGTTTTATAGGCTGGTTTTATAGGAAGTGAAGGTCAAGGATCAGCGGTGGAGAAAGACAGAGCAGACAGAACAGTCCATCTGGAATGTTTCAAGCCTGGTGGCAGAAGCGAGTGGGCCCCACCTTGGGGACTATGAAGCAGATAGGTGGGATGGGAGTAACAGAAATAGCATAAGCCCTCCTGATAGTGCGCGGGGAGATCGGAGTACTGGTCTTTGCTGAAGTTTCTAGACTACTCCCTGGGGCTTCCCCAGCCCTGTCCCAAAGACTGAGATCCTATTTATTAACTTACCCTGAAGGTGACGCCTCCTCTAGACATTCTAATGAGACCTGATTTCTGCTGCTCAGAGCTTCCTAGTCATGCTACCCACGTGCTAACTCAGCATTTCCTGCCTTGCTCTGAGAGGACCTACTGTGCACCAACCTGCCAGCTGGTCCTGCTATCCAACAGCTCTATACTTTCTGAGAAACAAACAAGCAAACCACCAGCCAGTCTGATTCTAAACCCCACTGTTCCGTCACATCCTCTCTGTGACTTTGGATAAGTGGCTCAACTTCTCTCTGTGTGTTGGATACCTTTTGTGTAAAATAATGGGGCTAATTTAAAAAACATCTCCTAAAATCACTATGAAGGTCGGTGTATTAACATCACTTAGGAAGGTGCCACCAACACATGGCTAGTGCATGAGGAAAACAACACGCAGGAATTTACTCAAGACCCAGCCGACGATTATAATCAAGTTCATCTGACTTGAAAACTCATGTTCTGCCCAATTTTGGTCTCATCTCTTCCCATCTCTCAAGGCATGTTGTCTTCCATCTCTCACGCACTGGAACCAGCTTGTACACCCTTCACGGAACAGCACCTCCAAACCACCTTCCCGTACTCCGAGGGACCTCGACGGGTCAGCCAGAGAGCTCAGAACAGGGAGCAGACACAGAGAAGAGGACCACCACAGAGGTGCTGGAAGAGAAAGCCCTGGTGGCAGCCATTTCCTTTTCCCTCACGTGAGTGTCAGGGCCCCAAGCTCCAAGCAAATGAGCGCAGCCAGGTTAAGTGCGAGTCTGCTTCCAGAGAGTCCTGGTGAGGACCTTGTGCACCCTACTGTCACGGTTAACCACAGACCCTGCCTGCCCTGCCCTGCCCTGCCCGCTGCTCTCTCTCCTGCTGCAGCCCTGGCTAGCTCTGCCTCCTTTCCTCTTCTGCAGTCCTGGTCCACGCCCCCCTTTCCAGCCCCACCTAACTCTCCTTCATTGGTGGTGTTCTCTTCTCCACTTTCCCTTTCTTCCTGTTCCCTCCCTTCCTGCTCTTATCCACACACCCGCCTTCCTCCATGCTTCCACCTCACTAAAGAGAGGTGTTTGTGGTGTGTCTCGGTGAGACAGCTTGGGAAACCCCAGGAGGGCAAGGCTAGCATTAGTGCAGCCTAAGTGCCACTTGCTAGCACTGAACAGGAAGCCCAGTGACAATTTTAAGTTCGGAGAGTCACATGGTTAAGGAGACGCCCCTCAAGGATGCTGTTTCCACACAGAGGCAGCGAGTGCCTCAGGCTTTGTGTAGAGTCGGCAGAGGTCAACCTGGTGACAGGTGCCTGTCAGCCACACCTAGGCTGCCACATCTGTTGTTAAGGAAGGCTAAAGGGAGGACCTTGTTGGGATGGCTTCTTCCTGTGAGGGCAAGAAATTCCACCTTCTGAATCTCTTAGCTTCATTTAGCTACACTACCTCCAGTTTGAATCCTGATGCCAGTGGAGCTGAAGGGAGGGAGCTTGTCACAGGGAGAACGGCTGACCTTTCTCCCAGCCTGCCTCCTTCTTCAGTCCTCCTCTGGAAACTTCCATTCCCATGTACGGTTTTCTTTTTTTTTCTTTTCTTTGTTTTTTATTTCTTTTTTTGTTTTTGTTTTTGTTTTTTTGAGACAGGGTTTCTCTGTGTAACATCTTTGGCTGTCCTGAAACTCACTTTGTAGACCGGGCTGGCCTCAAACTCACAGAGATCCACCTGCCTCTGCCTCCTGAGTGCTGGGATTAAAGGTGTGCACCACCACCGCCCAGCACAGCTTTCATGTACGGTTTCCTATAGCTGGAGCTGAAGACCTTGCCACAGTCACCCGCAGGGGCTCCAACATTTCTTACAATGCAGGCTCTAGGCCCTTGTCTCTATTCTCTCCTTCCTTTTACTCCAAGATCCTTCTCCCCAGATGCTGTTAAAGGGAGGGGTATCTTTCCTAGCAGTATAACTCAA